GGTGGTGCAGTAATTAGAATGCAATGCTGACTGCTAGCAGTTCGATCCTGATCAGCTCAAGGCTAACCTATCAGCAATCGGTAAAATGAAGACCCAAATTGTTGGGGGCAATATGCTGACTCTGTAAACTGCTTAGAACCGGCTGTAAAGCACTATGAAGTAGTATATAAGTCTAAGTGTTATTGCTATTATTATTGTGCTTTCTGGCTCATAGGTCACAATTTTCGTGATAGTATGGAAATGTGGTATCCTGTATTCAAATCAAAACTTTCACCATGATCTAATAAAAGTTTTGATTTGAATACAGAACGCCACATTTCCATGCTATCAAGAAAAATATCCACCAGATATTTAAACTGTTCTGTTCTATGGAAACAAAAACAACCCATTATTTAAGGAAACATCTAGAAATGTCTATACTAGGGGTGTCACATGGAAGCTGTGCCTACTCCAACTCTGGCAAGGGGAGAAAAGTCATGATATGTTGCAACACATCACTTGACATGGTGAGTTTGACACCCCTGGTCTATACTCTGAAAGACTATTATTAAAGCTGCAGAGTAAGAGAACTGACTCTTTTATAAGGCCATTTCCTTCTTTTCTTTAGGGTTTGATGTATATTTTATAATGCTTCAGTCTATATCAAGCCTGTGATCCATGAAGTCAAATGGAATCCATCATATTATGATTTCCCCAATGTTTGACTGCCCTGTTCGGTACAGGCATCAAAGGCAGAGTTGGGGGGATCACATAATGAGGAGGTTGCTATACATTGATCATAGAACTGTAGTGAAACATGCCAAATTGTGAAAAGAGATGAACTTATTTTGGCTTAGTATCAAGGCCATTGTAACCCACCTCTTATACCTTATACCTAAGGTTGTTATTCTCTTAACTCTGATGTTTGCTTTTTGATGATGGCTGTTTCCTTATATTCATGTTTTTAATTGATTAGCAGAATGTTTGTTAACAATTTCATAATTGCTTCACCCCTCTTAATTAACAAATATAAATCTCTCCATTCTATAATCCATTAAATAAGTAACCTTCTCCTTATCCAATTGTCAGCAAAAAAAAAAAAAACCCAAACAGAGCTCTAAAATATTAAAATTAACTAACATAAAACTCAGCTTTCAGCTATTGGCAAAACCCCATTTAAAAAGCATAAAAATGTCCTCAAATCTTAGTTTAAATAAATTATACCTAAAGTTTAATATAACAAAAAGAGACCATTTCTCCTTAAAAGGGAAGGGCAAACTGCAGTACACTTGTTCTAAATGCCAACCATCCCCAAGAGAACCAACACAATAACATACAGTATTCCATTCCAATAAATGTTTCACACCCCAAGTCTAAACAATCTAAGTAATCCCAGCATCCTAATAAAAAATGACCACAATTTAATTTAACAAAAAGATAAAGTAGATCACAACCTACTACTTGACAAGATAGAAAAATGTGGGGTAGACAGAACCACCACCAGATGGATCCGTAGCTGGCTGATCGGCCGTACTCAGCAAGTGGTCCTCAATGGAACTGCATCTATATGGAGGGAAGTGTGTAGTGGGGTGCCCCAAGGCTCTGTTCTGGGCCCAGTACTCTTCAACATCTTCATCAACGATTTGGATGAAGGGATAGATGGGGAACTCATCAAATTTTCAGATGACACCAAGCTGGCAGGAATAGCCAACACTCCAGAAGACAGGCTTAAGATACAGAAGGATCTGGACAGACTTGAACACTGGGCACTAACGAACAAAATGAAATTCAATGGTGAAAAAAGCAAGGTTCTACATTTAGGCAAGAAAAACCAAATGCACAAGTACAGCATAGGTGGCACCATGCTCAATAGTAGTAACTGTGAGAGGGACCTCGGAGTCCTAGTAGACAATCACTTAAATATGATCCAGCAGTGTGCTGCAGCTGACAAAAAGGCCAACACAGTGCTAGGCTGCATTAACAGAGGGATAGAATCAAGATCACGTGAAGTATTAATACCACTCTTCAATGCCTTGGTAAGGCCACACTTGGAAGACTGCATCCAGTTTTGGTCACCACGATGTAAAAAAGATGTTGAGACTCTAGAAAGAGTACAGAGAAGAGCAACAGAGATGATTAGGGGACTGGAGGCTAAAACATATAAGGAACGGTTGCTAGAATTGGGTATGTCTAGTTTAACGAAGAGAAGGACAAGGGGGGACATGATAGCAGTATTCCAATATCTCAGGGGCTGCCATAAAGAAGATGGAATTAAGCTATTTTCCAAAGCACCTGAAGGCAGGACAAGAAGCAACGGGTGGAAACTAATCAAGGAGAGAAGCAACTTCCTGACAGTGAGAACAATTAATCAGTGGAACAGCTTGCCTCCAGAAGCAGTTAATGCTCCAACACTGGAAGTTTTTAAGAAGAGACTGGACAGCCATTTGTCCGAAATGGTGTAGGGTTTCCTGCCCGAGCAGGGGGTTGGACTAGATGACCTCCAAGGTCCCTTCCAACTTTACTACTACTACTACTACTACTACTACTACTACTACTATTATTATTATTATTATTATTATTATTATTACTCGTTTAAAAAAAACTCTCACAATTAGGACACTATGTATTTAGATATTAAACAATTAGGATACAGAAAATAAGTATAAAACAAAATATTTAACAACCAAATAACCAAAGCCACATTTTTTCAATCAAAATATTAGTAAATCCCAAAAAGAACCATGCAGAATGACAACATGTTCCATTTTAACCTTGGTCAAATAAATCAATTTGTCTTCCTTTTTTTTTTAAACACAGAACCATCCCAGTAGTTATTGATCCTTGTTACAAATTTCCTCTTTTCTTTAAGCTGTCTGTTTTGTAAATCCAACAAAGAAAAATGATTCCCATTACTCTCTGGGGGTCATCTTTTTATTGCCTTCTTAATTTTTAAAACTCCATACAGTCATTTTCTTTGTATCTGATGGCAGGTTCTTAGCCAAGGTTTCATTCCTACAGTTCTCAAGTAGAATTTGTTGTGTATTTTGTTCTATAACATTTTGTTTTGAAGACAGACTGTTCTCAAAAAGACCCAACATGTCTGCCATAATCAGTTCAAAGCCTTGACACATCCTTGGTGGAGTTCCTCAGAGATATCGTTAAATGCCATAATTTATTTCCCACAAACATGTATTTGTTTTTTAAAAATAATTTAAAAGTCTTAATATTCAAAATTCAATATTCCCGATGTTCTGTGAGCCCTTAATCTTTTTAAAAATTTCCATAGCCAAAACTTTATCCGTTTGCTCTTTTATTTTAATTTCCTAAAGTTATAAAAATAAATTTTCATTTTCTTATATTAAGGTTTGAAGGCACTCACTCACCAGGTATTGTCCCTTTGAGAGTATCTAGCTTCTTTCAATCAGTTAACAAGCAATTTTTAAATGTAGTTAGCAAGAGAAGTGTCCAAATTTAGTGTCCTTTGAAAGGCTCCATTTACAGCTGAAGGAATTATAGTGAATTTCCCCTTCTCCCATCAGTAATCACCGTCTTGCTGTCTATTTGTGAGGAGAAGGGATAACCATCTGAGCTGCCAACAGTTTATGTCAGGGGTCTTCAATATTGACCCTTTTATGACTTGTGGACTTCAACCCCCAGAATTCCTCAGCCAGCATGCCTGGCTGAGGAATTCTGGGAGTTGAAATCCACGTCATAAAAGGGCCAAGTTTGAAGACCCCTGGTTTAGGTAATCTCACATCTTGCTCTTTTATCCAGAGAGAAACAAGGAGCTAATCTACTGACTCCTTTAAAAAGTCCACAAGAGTTGATTCTTCTTATTCCTGGAGCTCTCTTCAGTCAGTCATCTTCCTCAGAATTTTCTATAATTATTTTTCCCTATTGTTAACCGTTTGAATGTTTTCTGGGCTTAGAACCAAAGCCTGATTGTTATTTAGCAGATGTCGGCTTTTGGAATTATAATATATACCTCTAACCAGCTCCTTGTTGTTCATATTGGCAAAGATGAAGTAAGGAGCCTAATAATCTCCCTCCTTCTACTCTTGAGTGTTGCAGTGGTGGCAGTGTTGACCATTAGTATGTGCCTGTTTTTGGCATATCTGCCTTGATTTTTCTTGGCTCCTGAATTCCTCTCTACTCCAGAGTCCAGGAGTCTTGGCACCCAGAAGGAACCTTTCTATTTTAAAGCCACAGGTTTGCAGAGCAAAGCTATAATTCACTTACACAGTGGAATGGCTAAAGGCAGTAGAAGCAAGGAGATATACCTACTGATGCTCTTTGGAAGCATACCTCCCCTTGGAAATGAAATGGAAAGGCTCTGATCGCTGAACATTTTTGAAAAATTGCCCTAATATCTATTACAGCTGCAAGCAGAACAGCTGAGAAAGCCTCTGGCAGTTCTTTGCCTGTAGCGATGAGTTTTACAGCTGAGACCAACTCCACTTTTCAAATCTCCGAGTTGCCTAAATTATTCGTGTTTTGTTTGTTTGTTTGTTTGTTTTAGTCTTCAGCTACACATGGACTTAGTAGCTTTTTGCAGTGGGTGCAATTTCCTTTAAGCAAAAACATGACAATCTGAACAAAGCTACTTGGCTGAGGTCCTTGAGCTTTATTTCTAATCCTAACTATGTGGCAGCTCACTTTGTGATGCTGATTTAAATTACTTTAATTTATTCCCAGAGGAAGAGAGATCAGAGCTTAGCTGTGTTTCCTGCTCCTTGCTGTTTTATGAAAAGGCTTAGTGAACCAGAAAGTTCCGTGACTGTTTATGTGATCTGCACCCCAAAGTGAATGTGCATCCCCAGTTCTATAGGCATTCTTCCAACTTAGGTACCCAATGTGGATAGAAATATACTTATATTCAGAAACAATCATTCTAGATAATGCTGTTTCTATGGCTGCTGATGCTAATGAAAAGCAACAGTGATACTGATCATTATAACACTTCTTGTAGAAATATGGCTGAGCTTGTTTTTCTTTGTTTTTGTGTTTGTGTTTTGTTCTAGCTGGGAGGCTGTGGGATCCTTGGAGTTGGCATATGGCTAGCCGTTACTCAAGGGAACTTCGCTACCCTGTCTTCTTCCTTCCCTTCTCTGTCAGCTGCCAACCTGTTGATCATTACAGGGACTTTTGTGATGATCATTGGCTTTGTGGGATGCATAGGAGCCATCAAAGAAAACAAGTGCCTCCTACTCAGTGTGAGTATAAAATGTGTCTTATCTATTTGTTGCTGCCTTATGACCTCAGGGTGATTCTGCATATGTTAATACCTAATACGTTGTCAACTTCACATAGAGCATATCCCAGCATCTAATACAAGCAGTTTCCCATCTGGAGTAAGACACTTTTATCTAGAATCTTTAACAATGTTTAGCATTATGGATTAATTGGTTGTGAAAAATGGGATGCATGTTTGTAAATACCTGAGGTTGCCATCAAGCAAATCAGACGACAATGTAAAAAGCAAGGCTATTACTTCTTGTGCTGATAGATGAATGCCTTTAGAGATACAATTGATGGATTGTATTTGCTGATGGAATGGTTTTTGCCAGCCAAACATTTTTTTCCCCAGATCTTCTCAGGAAGTTGGAGGAAAGAGTGAGAAGCAATCCTATTGTTGGAAGTAGATTTCTATTTGCAAAACTCATTGTCCTGTTTTTACTTTTAGGTATACTCTTCTTTTTAACAACAGATTTGAGAGACATTTTGAAATTTGTCTGATACAGCAATAGATAATTAATAGTTTTTGTTTGTTAGGTTTACATCCTACCTTTCTCCAGAAGATCAAGGCCAGGAGTCTTCAAACTTGGCCCTTTTATGACTTGTGGACTTCAACTCCCAGAATTCCTCAGCCAGCGTGCCTGGCTGAGGAATTCTGGGAATTGAAGTCCACAAGTCATAAATGGGCCAAGTTTGAAGACCCCTGATCAAGGCAGTTCACAGCAGGGATCTTCCTTCATTTTATTCCTATACAACAAGCTTGTGAAGTTGTGTGAAGTTGGTTGGGCTATGCAAATATGATTGGTCCAAAGTTACCCAGTGAATTTCCAATGCATGTGTTGATAAAGAATAGCATATATTTCTTGCTTTGGAAATGATTTATCAAATTTGGGGATGGATGGATGGATGGATGGATGGATGGATGGATGGAGACAAACAGATGGATAAATTTAAAAGAGTAAATGCAGAAATTGGATGAGTCAAGAAGTTTGAAGGTTGGAAGGTCTCAGATCTTAAATCCTGGCCCTACCTCCTGCTTTATAGTTATACTTTGGTAATTTTTTCAGCTATAATGATCATTCAGATGAACCCTCATCTGGCACCCTCCCCCAACATCAGATATATGAGAGAGATAGAACTGTCACACCCTGTAATGCCATTCTGCCCATTAAAAAGTAAAGGAAAATAATTCCTATATTACCATCTCCTAGCCATAGAACATTAAGGCACTGGCTAGAAGAATTAGCCCAGCTCTCCACTCCTTCCCTTCAACTCAGTGTTGATAAAGCCAATACACAATCTAATGCTCCAAGCAGCACATAAGATGGCACTGGTACATTACAGTTAGAATTTTCTATCCCACAACTCCAGTAAAGAGACAAAGAATTCCTCCTTCTTCCTCTTCCATGTTGAGGCTATGGCAAGGAGCAACCAAAAAGCTAGCACAGAATCTAGTTAAAACATATTTACTTATATTTACAGAAATACTTATTTTTCTTGAAGCTGACAGGATATCAGTGTTAGTATTTGGGAATAAGTTCCACTGTCCTCATTTATGAATTGGATAAGCATCAATTCTTATGTATTTGAGATCTTAAAAATTCTTGGCTTGGGGGAAAAACAAATACTGAAATCAACTTTTCATCCTAGAGCAGATGTTCACTTTAAATCGTCTCAGTCAACATAATTTAAAGCATACTTGAAATATGGCAGTCCTTAAATGGAACTCTTAACATATAGAAAAGAAAGCTGTCATGTTGTTCCCCTATGTTAAGTAAAGGGTACAGTCCTTTAATATGTAGGCGGCATTTATTGTTTTTTTCCATTTCACAATGACATGTTTCTTTTACACAGCAAAAATAATTTTAGGAGATTCCTTAGAGTCACACCAGATTGCTTCCTGAAATTCAGTGTTTTCTCTCTCTCCCTCCCTCCTTCTGCGCGCGCACGCGCGCGCACACACACACACACACACACACACACAAGATTGACTTCAGTAAATGAGGGGGTAAATCCTTAGTTAGAAGTTACATGAATGTAGACAATCCAGTTCCTACACAACAGAGATTAGGGATCGTTGCATCTTCTAATCCAGTGGTTCTCAACCTGTGGGTCGGGACCCCATTTGGGGTTGAACGACCATTTCACCGGGGTCGCCAAACAAGGCTGTCCGCCATTTTTTCCCCCTTTTCTTTGGCCATGCCCCTGGCACCCGGTGATGTATAAGTGGTTGGGGGTCACCACAACATGGGGAACTGTATTATGGGGTTGCGGCATTAGAAAGGTTGAGGACCACTGTTCTAATCAGACTTAGAAAATTCAGCTAAAATATCTCCATAAAGTCATTTCTAATTTGCTTGTTTTAAAATTCAGCAACCCTCTCAAATGCTTTTCCTAATGTTTACTTCCAGTTGCATTGGAATCCTCAAATCTCACATTAAAAAACATGAAATTTCTGCTTCCAGTTTTACTCTTCGTTGGATAGCTCTTTCATTTTTGATACTCTTCAACATCTTCATCAACGATTTGGATGAGGGGATAGATGGGGAACTCATTAAATTTGCGGATGACACCAAGCTGGCAGGAATAGCCAACACTCCAGAAGTCAGGCTTAGAATACAGGAGGACCTGGACAGACTTGAACACTGGGCGCTATCTAACAAAATGAAATTCAATGGTGAAAAAAGTAAGGTTCTACATTTAGACAAGAAAAACCAAATGCACAGTATAGTATAGGGGGTACCTTGCTCAATAGTAGTAACTGTGAGAGGGATCTCGGAATCCTAGTGGACAATCATTTAAATATGAGCCAGCAGCTGCCAAAAAAGCCAACACAGTGCTAGGCTGCATTAACAGAGGGATACAATCAAGATCATGTGAAGTATTAATACCACTTTACAATGCCTTGCTAAGGCCACATTTGGAATACTGCATCCAGTTTTGGTCACCACAATGTAAAAAAGATGCTGAGACTCTAGAAAGAGTACAGAGAAGAGCAACAAAGATGATTAGGGGACTGGAGGCTAAAACATATAAGGAACGGTTGCTGGAATTGGGTATGTCTAGGAGGGAGTCAAGCTATTCTCCAAAGTGCCTGAAGGCAGGACAAGAAGCAACGGATGGAAACTAATCAAGGAGAGAAGCAACCTAGAACTAAGGAGAAACTTCCTGACAGTTAGAACAATTAACCAGTGGAACAACCTGCCTCCAGAAGCGGTGAATGCTCCAACACTGGAAGTTTTTAAGAAGAGACTGGACAGCCATTTTCCGAAATGGTATAGGGTTTCCTGCCTGAGCAGGGGATTGGACTAGATGACCTCCAAGGTCCCTTCCAACTTTATTATTATTATTATTATTATTATTATTATCATCATCGCACAGTCAGCCAAATGTTCAGACTGGATTTGGCATTTTGTCTACCTATCGAGTCCTTACCCAGGACCTGGGATAGGCAGATGTGGATGTTTGATGGCATTACAGATATCGTCGCAGGATGGAAGCAGTTCCTAGTAAGGCCGCCTTTTGCAATTGAGTAATAGCGAATTTGTCAATGCCAGTGGTGTTCAAGTGGTGCTCCAGTTGTTTTGGGATTGCACCCAAGGAGCCTATTACTATTGGTACTAGCCTTGCTTGCTTTTGCCACAGTCTTTCTATTTCTATTTGTAGGTCTTTGTATTTTGTTATCTTCTCCAGCTCTTTCCCTTCTATTCTGCTGTCTCCAGGCACTGCCACATCCACTGTCCAGACTTTTTTGTCTTTCTTATCGACAATTGTTAAGTATGGGGTGTTATGTTGCAGGTGCTTGTCTGTTTGAATTCTGAAGTCCCAGAGCAGTTTAATTTTATCATTTTCTATGACTTTCTCTATTTTATGATCCCACCAGTTTTTGCTTACAGGCAAATGATATTTTTTGCAGATCTTCCAATGCACCATTGTTGCTACTTTGTCATGCCGCTGCTTGTAGTCAGTCTGTGCAATCTTCTTGCAACAGCTTACCAGGTGGTCCACTGTTTCTTCAGCTTCTTTGCATAGGCGGCACTTACTGTCTGTTGCTGTCTTCTCAATTTTGACTTTATATGCATTTGTCCTTAAGGCTTGGTCTTGTGCAGCCAGAATTAGTCCCTCGGTCTCTTTCTTCAATTTTCCTGCTCTTAGCCATTGCCAGGTCTTGTTAATATCTGCTTTCCCAGCTATTTTTTTAATATATTGGCCATGTAGTGCTTTGTCTTCCCATGCCTCTATTCTGTTCTTCATTTGGTCTTTCTTGTAGACCAGTATGGTCTCTCCAGTAGTCAGTAAGCCTTCCTGATATACTAATTTCAGTGCATCTTCATCATTGTTCTTCAGATATTCTTCCAAAGCCATTTTTTCTTCTTCAACCATCTGATGTACTTGTAGCATTCCACGCCCACCTATTTGCCTTGGTAGATAAAGTCTGTCAATGTCACTGCGTGGATGAAGGGCATGATTCATTGTCATTATTTTTCTGGTCTTCCTATCCATTGCTTTTAGTTCTGCTTGAGTTCAGTCCACTATTCCAGCTGTGTACCTAATGACTGGGATTGCCCAGGTGTTGATTGCCTTTATGGTATTTCCTCCATTGAGTTTGGATTTTAAGATCTTCTTCACTCTCTTGATGTATTCACCTCTAATCTTTTTCTTGACTTCAGTGTGCTTGATGTTGTCAGCTTGAAGGATACCCAAGTATTTGTAGTAATCTTCCTCATCCAGACTCTTAATGTTATTTTCGTGGGGCATCTTGATTCCTTCAGTTTTCACTACTTTTCCTTGTTTGATAGTAAGTGTGGCACATTTGTCCAAGCCAAACTCCATAACAATATCTTGGCTATATATACGGACAGTGTTGAGCAGCGATTCTATTTCAGATGATGTTTTTCCATACAGCTTCAGATCATCCATGTAAAGGAGATGGGATAGTCTGGTAGATGTTTTTGATGTTTGATAGCCATGTCCTGAG